AAAAATAAAAAAAAAATAAACTTAAAAAAAAAAAAAATCAGGGTATATCCTTAAAATATATTAAAGATTTTACATGGTCCTCATCTTAATGGCTGAATTATTTCTCATCAAATAAGTGAAACACTTGATTCTTCTTCCTTTTATTAGATAGTTCAAGCACTTTTTTTTTGTGTGTGTGTGTGTGTGATCTTACTACAGAGCTTGGACTCGTAGTGATCCTCCTGTTTTCAGCCTCCCCAGCACAGGGATTATAAGTGTGCACCACCATGCCGGGACTCGGTCACTGGCTCAGCACGCCCAGGGGCAGGGCCAGCACGGCATGTGGTGCCAAGGATTGAACCCCAGTCCCTGAGCTTGCCTAAGCAGCTGCTTAGTCTGCTGAGCTATCTCATCAGCCCTAGTTGAAGCACTTCTGATTTGCAGTGTTTAATTTTAATACAAATAAGGCCAAAAAGGCTTCACATAGTCCAGTAAAATGTTTTCCACCAAGGAAGGTGGACTCCTTTGACCAGGGATAAAACTTCACTGACTCTACTGATGGTTACAGTCTCTCAACGCCCAGACAACAGTGGTCGACACCACTGGCCAAATAGCAAGCCACAAATGTGAGCATTTCTTCCACATTACCTTGCCTGGGGGCAGAGGGGTAATTTAGAGCTCTTGTTCTGCCAAGTGTTAAACACCAACATTAGCATTGCCAATGTGAACTCTTGGCAGCCTGGCATCTGTCTAGTCTCTTGACAATGTAAGTATATCCTTGGCCTTGGGGCCCTCTTAGAAAGGAGGTTCCTTCCTCCCAAGGCAGGTTAGTTTAGCCAGGCTCCCAGACTAGCCTCCATCCCTCCCTTCTGTGTCCCAAGAATGCCACTAAAGTATTTCAGTTTATCAAATATTTTAATAAAGGTCCATCCACTTTCATTTCAAACAGAGAAGTGGCCATAAATAAAAGCTCCCGTTCTTTTGGTTTATTCACAAAGGTCTTCTCTACCACTGCTACCTCATAAATCTGTCTGCAACAGAAATGTTCTTGCCAGGGCCGGGGAGATGGCTCAGTGGAATAAGCACTTGCCTGGCAAGCACAAGCTGAGTTCAATCCCTGGTTCCACCAAAGCAAAACAAAACAAAACAAAAAAAATTCTTGCCTGTGCTGACCTTAAATTTAGCTTCTGACCAAGAACTTAAGTTTTTCATTTTACTTAATAAATTTAAATAGCTTCATTTGGCTAGTGGCTACCACACTGATCAGTCAAACTCTTAGAAATCCTTCTCCATGGGGCCGAGACAGCTGACAGAACTTTAGTTATGCTTGTCTCCGTCCAGAGAGCTGAAGCCTTGTACACAGGAACATAATGTATGTTGAGGCCTGAGCCATGCTACTGTGTACTCAGGCTTAGACTTGGTTTCTTTAGGTCCCCATCTCTCAAAGTAAATATGTATGTGTGTACTTGGCCTTTTTTTGAGACAAGGTCTTGCTATGAAGTTCAGGCAGGCCTTGCACTCCCTTTGTAGCCCGGGCTTGTCTCGAACTTGCAGTGATCCTCCTGCCTCACCCTCCCAAGTGTTGGGATTACAGGCATACACAACCACATCTGGATGGTAATATTATATTAAATAGACCTCACTTCTTAATGGTTTATTTCCTCCACAGTCTGAATTTTCAACTCTTATTTTTATTAGGGCAGTGATGCTGAAACTATGGCATAGGTGCCCTATGGGCTGTTTGTTATACTGAAAGCTCTAAAAACTTTGCCATCACTGGGTTAGTGAAATGCAATTAGGCAAAGCTTTCCTCTTTCCAATCTTGTTGACTTTATAAGAATATTGATTAGG